GGCTTCCAGTTAGACCCGGGGCTTTCGGCCTGAGCAGGGGGCAGGGCTGCAGGTGCACTGGGCGCGGAGGGGAAGCTGTGGGTGCCGCTGGTACCTCTCCCTGACCAGGCCGTCATGGTGAGTGTGGAGTGGTGTCTCCGTGGTTCTGATTTGCATTTCCATAACGCCAGGAGATGGCAGGCACCTTACCATGTGCTCACTGGCCATTTGCATATCCTCCTTGGAGAAGTGTCTTTGCGGGGGTCTCTTGCCCATTTTATTATTACAGATCGATTTATTTACTGCAAAGGCAGAGGGACAGAGAGAGAGAGGCAAAGACAGAGAGATCGTCTATCCACTGGTTCACTCCCCAAATGGCCACAATGGCTATGGCTGGGCAAGACCAAAACCAGGAGCCAGGAACTCCGTCTAGGTCTCCCACGTGGGTGGCGGGGGCCAAAGTACTGGGGCTTCTTCTGCTGCTTTTCCAGGTGTATTAGCAGGGATCTGGACTGGAAGTGGAGCAGCCGGGAATCAAACCAGCACTCAGATATGGGATATCTGTGTTGTAAGTGGCATCTTAACCCATTGTGCCACAACACCAGCACCTTGCCTGTTTTTTAAAAACTAGGTTATTAGACTTTTTTATTGTTTTTATTTATATGATTTGAGAGGCAGAGAGAACGTCCATGTGCTTGTTCACTCCCCAGATGCCCATAACAGCCAGGACTGAGCCAGGGAGCCAGTCCAGTCTCCCTCATGGCAGCAGAAACCCCATCTCTTGAGCCATCACCACAGCATCCCAGGTTCTGTGTTAGCGGGAAGCCAGAGTCAGGAGCGGGGACCAGGGGTGCAACCAGGTCCTCTGAGGTGGGGCTCCGGCGTCTTAACCACTAAGGCCAAATGAGAGTTCTTTCTGTATTCCAGGTAGCGTTCCATAGCCAGATTTATGATTTACAAATATTCCCCGCCTTCCGTGGGTGGTCTCTACTTTGTTGGTGGTGCCCAGTGAAGCACAGTGCCTCTGGTCTTGATAAATCCCACCTTGTCTGTTGTTGTCGTCTGTGCTCTGGGTATCTGTCATTTGTAGGAAATCATTTCCGAACCCTCAGTCATGAAGATTTACTTTCTTGTGTTTTGTTAGAAGATTTTTATATTTTTATCACTTTTGTTTGGGTCATTGATCCATTTTGAGTTTGTTTCTGTATATAGTTTAAGGGCAAGGGTCCATTTTCATCCATTGCATTAGAATCTGACCGTCCCAGCGCCATCTGTTCGGTTTTTTCCCATCGACATGTCTTGGCGCAGGTGTTGCGGATCGATTGACCGGAGCTGGGAAGCTTTGCTGCTGGGCTCACTGGTCTGTGTGTCTGTGTGCTGTTGTCGCTCGTGTTGCTCTCTCAGAAGGTTTGAAATCAGAGTACACATTTTGAACTTTGTGAAATTCATTGCTAGGTGTCTGTTATCAATGCTGTTGCAAATGGAGCTATTTTTTTTTTTTAAGATTTATTTATTTGAAAGAGTTACAGAGAGAGGTAGAGACAGAGATGTCTTCCATCTGCTGGTTCACTCCCCAGTTGGCCGCAATAGCTGGAGCTGTGCCGATCTGAAGCCAAGAGCCAGGAGCTTCTTCCGGGTCTCCCACGCGGGTACAGGGCACAACGACTTGGGCCATCCTCCACTGCTATCCCAGGCCATAACAGAGAGCTGGATAGAAAGAGGAGCAGCTGGGACTCGAACCAGCGTCCATATGGGATACTAGCGCTTCAGGCCACAGCGCCGGCACCTGGAGCTATTTTCTTAATATCACTTTCAGATTATTTATTGCAAAAGTGTAGAAGTATAATTAATTTTTGAATGTTGATCTTGTACCCTGAAGATTTAACTCATTTGTTGGTTCAGTAGTTTTTGTGTGTTCCTTAGGATTTTGTATACACAGGATCATGGCATGCACAGAGAGTTTCCACCCTCCCTTCCACCCTGAACGCCTTGTCTGTCTGCTTCTTGGCTAATTGCCTGGGAAGGAAGAGAAATCTTTTTCTTGTTCCTGTCCCTGGTGGGGAAAATTCTCACTTTGAGATTTTTTTTTGTTTGTTTTTAAGATTTATTTATTTGAAAGGTGGAGTTACTAAGCGGGAGAGGCAGAGGCAGAGAGAGAGATCTCACATCCATTGGCTCACTCTCCAAATGGCTGCAATGGCCAGAGCTGGGCCAGACTGAAGCCAGGAGCTTTATCCAGGTCTCCTATGTGGGTGCAGGAGCCCAGGCACTTGGGCCATCTGCTGCCTTCCCAGGTGCATTAGCAGGGAGCTGGATTGGTTGTAGAGAAGCTGGGACTTAAACTGGTGCCCATATGGGATGCTGATGCTGCAGGCTGCGGCTTAACCCACTGCGCCACAGTGCTGGTCCCCTTACTTTGAGATTTTTGATGATACCTGTGAGGTTTTTGTTTTCATTTGTGCTGCTTATCCCGTTGAAGAAATTCTTTTTATTCCTAGTTTATTGGGAGGCTTTATTTTTTTAATTATGAAAGGGCTTTGGATTTTGTCAAGTGCCTTGTTCCTATCTATTAAGGTGGCTGTTGGCTTTATCCTTGATTCTGTTGACAGGTGTATTACACAAATTGACTTCAGATGCTAAACCAACCTTGCATTCCTGGGATAAGTCTCACTTGCCTGAGTCTAACCCTTTTTATGTGTTGCTGTGCGTACAGCTTGCTGGCATGTTACTGAGTTTTCACATCTGTATTTGTAAGAGATGCTGCTTTCTTGTGATCTCGGCACCTGGTTCTCACTGTCCTTGTCTCTTAGTGTGTCCCACGGTGTAGAACAGCGAGATTGACCTCCCCCTCCTTCCCGTGTGCACCGGCAGCTCCAAGCTCAAGCGTAGCAGAGACTGGCCATCAGGAGGCAAGGGAGGGCAGCACAGCCTGGTGGGACAGACAGATGCTTACGGAGAGGTGTGGAGGGCAGCGCAGCCCTCTAGGGTCAGAGCAGGCCACAGGAGGGACAGGCAGTGGCTCTGGGGGCGCTGTCCACACCCGGCCCCGGCTGCGTACGTGATGGCTGCAGGTTCCTAGCCAGGGCGGGGGCGGCCAGGTGGCAGCGTGGACGTGTGGGACTCCTGCAGATCCTTCACCTGGGTGTCTTGTTGGGCAGTCACCAGAGGCCCTTGTGACCCGAGGGGACTTCCTTCCTGCCTCAAGTGCAGGCCAGGTGCTCGTCCTGGGCAGGCGGCAGCAGGCTGGGTCCCACGCCCCTGGGTCCGGGTTCCCTGCAGCGGCAGCCAGCGCTGTCCTCGTGTCTGCAGCTCACTCCGAGGCCCAGGGGCCCTGCGAGAAAGCCCCCGAGGCTGCGAGGAAGGAAGCAAGCGGGCTGTGCCGAGGTGCCGACTCCCTGTCCCCAGCCTCCTCCCGCTCGGCGAGCTGGGCGGCACCCTGGGAAAGTCGCGTCTGTTAGGTAACGGGCTCAGCTGCCTTGCAGGCTCTGATGTAATCTTGGATTCCGTGGTTGCTAGGAACATTCTGCCTGCAGTGGTAGCTGCGTGGTCCCAGCCTAGGCGAGAACAGAATGTTCCCAAGAAGATGGGGGGTTCTAGGGCTTCCTGCGCGTCCTGAGAAGCTGGACGACGTGAGCTGCCTTCCAGAAGCGCAGTTCCCTCGACGGGGGCACAGGCTCGTGCTGGCTGGGGCAGAGCCGAGACGGCAGGGGCTGGGCGGCGAGGTCAGCTCCCGCAGCAGCACCGGAGTGGCCCAGGGTCAGCCTGACGGCGCCTCCCATGCTCGGTCCTTGTCACGGGGCGCTCCGCCCCCGCAGCTCCGTGGCTGGCACGCTCTCCTCCGTGTGGCAGGGCAGCGGGAGGCAGGCGCCCTTGTGGTGTGGAGGAGACAGCAGCACCACCGCCCGGGACACAAGCAGCAGTCTGTCCTCACACCACGCCCACCAGCCCACCTCCACTGGCCTTTGCCATCTGCCGTCCGCCCCGCTCGGGAGCTTCCTGCAGTAGCACTGATGAGAAGCGTGCCAGAGGGGCCCAGCCAGGCCACCGTTCCTGTCCAGGCACAACCAAGAGCTGGGCTTTACCAAAAAGCAGGACAACAGCAGGACCCAGGGCCAGGGAAGTGGGGGGACCTGCCGGTCACCTCACTCACCCCGCAGGGCCCCTCCCTTCCTGGGCAGCTGCTGGTGGGGGCAGCGGGGTTAGCATTTAAGCTCGCTCCCTCCTCCCTGCAGCCGTTCCTGGCCGCGTGTCAGAGCCTGTGTGTTCTGTGGAAAACAAGACAAAGGAAGCAAACGTGGAGCTGCTGGGCCACACGCACACTCGGGATTAAGAAAATGAGTGGCAAGCGACGTGGATGTTATCTGTCTCCGCTGAAGCAGGCAGGCAGCAGTCTGGAAGTGGGTCTGGACAGGTCCCTCTGACCAGGTGTTGGGCCTGGGCAAAGAGGAATGGCTGTGGCAAGTCCGACTGACGGACAGGTGCTGTGGCGCCGTGGGCCGGGATGCTTCCTGATGGTGCACCTGGGAGGATGGCCCAAGTACTCGGGCCCCTGCCACCACGTGAGAGGGACCTGGAGTGAGGTCTGGGCTCCTGGCTTCAGCCTGGTCCAGCCCTGGCTGTTGTGGGCACTTAGGGAGTGAACCAGTGGATAGAAGATCTTTCTCTCCGCCTTTCAAGTTAGATGGAAGTAAATACACAAATAATGAACAGAGCAAGAGCCCCAGGAGGATCAACATTGGAGTCCTGAGAAGGAGGAGGGGGCTCCCAAGGGCCCCTGGGTGTTTGGTGGCATCGGAGCAGCCGCCGTGAGCAGGCAGCTGGATCCTGTCCTGGCTCGTGGGAGCCGTGTGGCCCTGGGCAGCAGCTGTCAGGCCGCAGCAAAGGCTGGAAGGGCTCTGTGCCCAGGAGGCACCCACCTGGTGGGCCGGTGCCCCGCCTGGGGCTCGCAGCCTCCTGGCCACATCCTGGTCGTCCCGGTCGTCCCGGAGACCCCCTCAGCAGTTCTTGTCCCTGGTCTGCAGGTGCAGAAGATGTGGTGATGGCGTTTTCCAGGTCGGAGACGGAAGACCGGAGGCAGTAGCTGCAACCCCCTTGGAACACCCTGGAAGCCGTCAAGGGCCAAGATCAGTGTGGCTCCTCGGCCAGCCGAGTGACAGGAGACCGCATCCCCCACCTCCCCCAGCCCCCCTGCCCCTCCCCTGCTCCCCGCCCCACGGCCACTTGGCCACTCGGCGGGGCTGGCGTCCGGGAGACACCAGTGGTGCATTTACGATGGGCTAAGGACTCGTGAGGAAGAAACCTTTTTATTTTTAAACCTTGACCAGTGGAAACCTTCCATTTTTATTTCTGACTCTTATTTAAAAAAAAAAAAAAATTGCGCCTCGGTATCTGGCTTCCCAGGAAGCCCTCCGAGCTCTGGTGCTTTATTTCGGTCGTTTTTTAGGAATGTGAAGAGGTCTGATTGGCTGCTTGAGCAGGGGCAGGGTTACGATTGGCTGGGCAGTGGGCAGTCGCTTTTTCTGTCATTGGCTGCAGGTGTTCTGATAGCAGCAGCTTCTCTATTTTGAATGCAGAAAACAGGGTCTAGGACGTTGCTTGTTATATTTGACTTGAAAAAAAAAAAAAAAACACAGAAAACCAAGTGCGCTGTGCGATGTTTATTACACAGAGCTTGCTGCTGCCGTCACGGGCGGGTTTGTGTCTGAACTTGATCAGCCTCTTGGTTTCCCATCGGCTCTCCCGTGACTCCCATTGCTGCAGATTCACCCCCAGCCTGGGGGCTCCACCCGGAGAACGCATTTGCTTTAGTGACCCCACTGCCGCCACCAGCAAAGGGGCCCCGAGGAGCTCGGCATTGCTCTGATCCAGCTGCCCAGAGCATAGAGCTGGCCGTGGGGCAGGAGTCACACGCTTCGCCGCCAGCTGCCCTCCGTGACAGCGGGGTCACCCAGACACCGTCCAGGCCTCCAGAGGAGCTCCGGGCTGGGCAGCTCTGTCCTCTTGTCTGCCCCTGCTCATCCCTCTACAGAGAAGGGGCTGCCCTGCACCGGGAGGCCGCACACACCCTGAGGGCGTGGAGCAGGGGTCTCTTACCTGGAGCCCCAAACCCCCATAAAAGCCCCAGCCCCGGGAGACCGTGGTCCCGAACACCAACCTCTGACCTACCCAGCCAGCCTCCTCCAGTGTCCGCCGCTGTGCCGGCGGGTCCCGGGGAGCACCGGAGCTCCCCGCCGTGCACTGAGCTGCCTGCGGAAAGGCCCCTCTGCGTGTCAGCCTGCAAGGGAAGCGCGTGCTTTACGGAGTGTGCACCAGGCCTTCACAGAGGGACCCCTCCTGAAGGTGGCAGGGCCTCCCCCTTACCTCCCTGCATCACTCATGGGCTGGGGGGGCTGGAGAAAGGTGTGGGCCCGAGGTGGTGGGTGGCCGAGCCCCCTTTTTGGCCCAGCTATCAGAGCCAGGAGGACACTCTGAGTGTCGCGTGTTGTCCCCCTTCACACTGCCTGGGGCTGTGGGCCTCTGTGGTTCCCGTGTGCCGGCGTGTCCTGGGCCGGTGCCCTGGCCAGCCTCCCCATCCGTGCTCCCACGTCGTCAGTCTTGCTCCAGACAGAGCTAAGACCCTGCCGTGCACCACACGTGGGCCCCTGGTCCTCAGGAGTAGGCGGTTAACCTCCCAGGGCCACCGATCCCCAGGGGACAAGGAGTTAGGGGCACAGGGGCAGCACCAGGCTAGGACCCTGGCAGGGCGCTGACAGCCTCTTCCTGCTGGGCAGTGCATGTGAGCACACGCCCACACGTGTGCAAGGCACACGCCCAGCTCGAGGCCTGGTGCTGCAGCTGAGCCCCGGGGAAAGGTGGTTTTGCTCCGTCTCCCCCTGCCTGGGCCCTGGTGTCTGGAATCAGGCACTGCTAGCTGCCCCCTCTTCACCTGTAGCTTCTGCACGGTGTGTTCTCTGCCCCAGCCTGTCCTTGTCACGGTCACGGGTCCCGCTCTAACAGTAACAACCCCGGCCTGTCTGCTGTCCTGGAGGGGACAAGCTCAAGTGTCACCGTGGCTTCAGATTTCAACTGAAAACCTGTCTGTTGGGGGAAAGTTAGCAATAAAGATTTTTCACAGCTCGGGTGTGCGCTGGGTTGGTTCTCCCTCCGCGTCACGCCCTGGCAGTGTCCCCGTGCCCTCGGCTGCCACTGGGGCCACCCTTTCCGCAGCGACTTTGCTGAGTGTGTGCAGCCTGGATTGCAGCTCAGGGGCGACGCTCCGTGTCTACAGCGCCCTGCGCCCGGCTCCTTAGAGGGTGGAGCCCCTGTGAGGCCTGGAGGTCGCCAGTGTCGTCCTCCATGGGACAGGCTGCCCTGCACCCCTGCCCCCACTGTCCTCCCACGCTGGCGCTGGTCCAGCACGCCTGTCCCCGCAGTCCCACCAGCCCGGAAGCAGAGGGGCCGGCCGTGTGCAGGTCCTGGGTTTGGGAGCTGAGATCATCTCTGCTTCCAGAATTTTTTACTTTGGGAGCATTTTCTAGAAATCTTCATTTCTACCCATCCGGATCCCATTTTAGTTGTTTTGTTTTGTTTTGTTTTTTTTCCTGTTTACACAGACTCACTGCTTCTGTTTCCCTTTCAAGAACTCCCCTGGGTTACAGCAGCATCGGCATCACCACGCCTGGTGTTGGAAGAGGTGTCTGGGGTCCCCGCCCTGCAGAACCCCCAGTCCCCCCTGGAGCCTCTCTGCCAGGGGCCTGTCCCGCCTGGAGCACCCCTTGCCCCCCGGGAATTCATCCCCTCATGGGGTAGGGCGTCTGGTGACTTTCCCGTGTCGAGGTGGTCGGCCTTTCTCCGTAACTTCTTTGTCCGGGAGAAGGACTGGAGTCCCTGAGAGGGAGGCAAATGCCGTGTTGGGCAAAAGTGACTCAGGGACACACGCTCAAGGCCCTCGTGGGGCTCTGCCCCCTCCCCGTGTTCCGAGTGACACCGGCAACCTTGAGTTAATCTTCTCTTCTAAGCTGGCTCAGCTGAGGGAGGGACTGGCTGGCCCTGGTCCCCCCCTGTTCGGCCGCCCTCAGAGAGCTGGGAACCCGAGCCTGGGAGCCATCCGACCTGTCAGGTCTGTGACAATAACTGGGCCACGTAAAACGAACCCAGGGGAACACCAGGGACGGCGTCAGCTCTCCCAGGGTCCCCAGCCTTCGAGCTCTGCCTTCCTGGGCGCAGGTGCACGCAGCTGGCAGTGACCCTGAGGGCAGGATTCCCGAGGCTGGAGGCAGCTGGGGGCCAGGCTGAGCCTGGGGGCGGCCTGGGACACACAGAACACCCTGTCTCTTGTCTGCGTTTCCCAGGCCTGGGGGAGGCTGTCGAGAATGAATGAAGCACTCTGTTTCCCACAGGTGAACAGCAGCTGTGAGAATCCAGGCTGCTCCCAGCCTTTGAACAGGGGCCTTTGTCCCAGCGAAAAGTGATCCCCTCCACAGCACCTGGTCCATGGGTGGGGGCAGGAGTCAACTTCCGGAGCCAGGGAGCTCTGCGGGCCCCAGGGACCCCAGCACTACCCAGCTGCCCCTCCTGTGCCGGTGGGTCCCTCCCCTCCCTCTCTGGGTCGCTCACTGCACCTGCTGGAACCGGGCCAACCTGAGGTCACCGTTAGCAAACATTTGCAGCCCTCTGCACCGGACGCGGAACCTGCCCTTCTGGGAGACGGGGATGTTAGGAGCCGCGGGGATGAGGGCCCTCATTTAAAGAAAGGTCTCTCCGAAAGACAAAGAGCTGTGGAGTAAAAGGCCTGATGTCAGCCAGAATCTTGCCTTTGCCTTTCTCTTTCTCTCGGAGCTGCCCCCTCCTGGGAGTCACCTGTCCAGCCCCGCCCCGCCCCTTGGGAATCTCAGGAGCGCCTCTGACTCAGAGCCTGCTTCCTGAGCCCCAGGGAGGGAGGAGGGTAGGCCACACCTGCGAGCCCCACCCCAGCCTGCTCAGGGAGGGGTTGGGGGGAGGTGACTTCAGACCCAGAACCTCACAGTTTCCCCTTCTTGGTCCTTGACCCCTGGTGGAAGGAGGTGGGTTTTTGCCAGCACCTTTTGTAAGGGTGCTGTGCTCTGTGTGTCCCGAAAGCTTCGGGCTGGAGGTGGGAGCCCCACACTCGCACTTCAGTGAGGCGTCCAGGAGGTGATGGGGCCTAGACAAGATCGGGGGGTGGCCCCTGTGGTGGCATGAGTGGCTGTGCCCGAGTCCGACCCAAGTCTGCACACAGAACCTCCGCCGTGGGACGGCGTGGCGAGGAGGCCTCACCAGACGTGACTCCAGCACCGCGCTCCTCCCGGGCCCCAGAACCATGAGCCTAATAAACTGCTGTGCTTTTCAGTCACCTGGTCTCAGATACTTTGTTACAGCAAAGATTAAGACAGTGCTGCCCATGTTCCAGTCTTTTAAAAAAAAAAAAAAATGAGTGTATTTTTTAAAGATTTATGTATTTGAGAGGCAGAGTTACAGACAGAAAGAGGGGGAGACAGAAAGAAAGGTCTTCCATCTGCTGGTTCACTCCCCAAATGGCCAAAACGTCTGGAGCTTGGCTGATCCGAAGCCAGGAGCCAGGAGCTTCCTCTGGGTCTCCCATGCGGGTGCAGGGGCCCAAGGACTTGGACCATCTTTTGCTGCTGTCCCAGCCATAGCAGAGAACTGGATCGGAAGAGGAGCAGCCGGAACTCAAACCAGTGCCCATATGGGATGCCAGTGTCGCAGACAGACGATTAACCCACCACACCACAGCACCAGCCCCCCAAATTATTTATTTATTGGACAGACAGAGCCTACACCCATCAGTCCACTCCCCAAATGTCCTCAATAGCGGGGGCTGGGCCTGGCCGAAGCTGGGAACCAGGAACTCAATGTGGGCCCCGATGTTGGGCCCAGGTACTTGAGCCCTCACTTGCTGCCCCCCAGGGTGCACAGTGGCAGGAAGCTGGCATCGGGATTGGAGCTGTGACTCAGCCCAGGCACTGCAACTCGAGATGTGGGTTCCCAACCAGTGTGTTCCTAGATGTGTGCCTGCCCGCGCTCGTTCCCAGTCTTGATGCGGTGTTCACTGGCTGCCCGCTGCGTTCAAGGGCGTGGCACCTTAGCCCCCACTCACCAGGGCGCTCACCTTTCACACCATCAGACATCAAGACTGGTGGCTCCCCTGCAGGCTAAGCTGATTTTTCTAGAAGTTCCTCTTGCACTGGGCAATCTCCCAGCTCTATGCCACTTGCTCCCGTGGTCTAAATCCGTCTGTGCTGGTAGCCAGAGGCTGGGCGACTTCATGCCCTATTTCGAGAACTCCAGAGGCCAGCGGGCAGGTCTGAAGCCTGGGTCTGCCCCTCTGCAGCCGTGTGCCGTGGGCGGGGGATCTAACTTACGGAAAAAATAGGAGCATCTATCCCATGAAGCTGTTGTTGAGAAAGCATGAGATCATGCCTAGGACAAGCTTAGCCCAGTGCCCTGTGCACGGTGGGTGGGCAGGACAGATGGTCACTGTCCCCACAGCGGGTGTCCCTCCGCCTCCACCCTCTCTGCTCCTACGTCACTCCCAGGAAGGGCTGTGTGCAGCTCTTGCCGTGGGGAGTGGCGCAGCCCAGGTCCAATTAGGTGCTTATTAGCTGCTTTTGATGGGGATGAAAGAGCTGAGATGATCCCTTGGTAGAAGCCAGGCCAGCTGCCTCCTGCTCCCCACCCTGAGCCCCTCCCTCTGCTAGGGAGCTTTGCGGGGTGGGGAGGGGGGGATGTTAATTGGGGCAGAGTCCCCACACCTGAGGCCCTGGGGAGGGGTTCCCCCATGAGAACAGCCAGGGTGGGGCCTGGGCAGAGCCCTGGAGTGGGAGTCCTGTCTTCCTAGGGCCCCTTCTGCTCTGTTCGCCTTGTGCTTAAACTCCAGACGGAGTCACAACCAGGCAGGGAAGGAGATAAAATTAAATCCTCAATCATGATCAAGTGGTTAAAAAAAACATCCCTGCCAGAGGCTGCTTCCCACCACAGCCGGCTGGGCTCCGTTTCAGAGCAAAGAGGAGGAGGAGGAAGATAGGGGAGCCGTGAGAGCCCAGCACCCCACGCTGCCGTCCCAGCCCGCAGTGGCCAGGCTCCTGCGTGCCCCCTCCGCCAGGTGGGGAGGCTGAGGCTTGCAGAGGCTGGGAACGTATTCAGAAGGCGATTGCCAAGGGGCATGCTCACGCTTTGCAGAAAGTGGCGGGGTCTGGGTTCCAGCACTGCACGTCTGGGTTCGAATCCAGCCTCTGCCAGTCACCAGCATCGTGGGCAAGTCACCCAGTGTTTCCAAGCCCCTGTTTCCTAATCGGAAACGTGGGAGCAACAGTGGTGCCCACAGCTTGGCAGTTGTCGATGCAACGTGTGAGCCCTAGCAGTGGGGTGCCAGGGAGCGAGGCTCAGGAGGGGGGAGGGGGTGCAGCTCCAGGGAGGGGGTGTCGGGAGGGAATTCCAAGCTGCTCCAAGCTGGAGCTGTGGAGATGGCCCTTCCTCTGCCTCTGCACACGGAAGCTGGGCTTAGGGGGTTGGGGCTGGGAGAGGCTGGGCATGGGACAGGGAGGCGCCCTGTGTGACGCCTGCACCCAGGTGGCCCCTGAGAGGGGGGACTGTGGCTGGAGCTGCAGGCACCCGGCGGGGCAGAGTGCGCGGTGCCCTGGAGGGAGTGCTGGGTGTACCCTGGCCGCAGAGGTAGGAAGCTGAGAGGAAATAATGAGGTGGTAAAAATAGCCCTTTGTTTACCGGAGGCTGCACATCCCTGTGTGTCCTGGGTGGAGGAGGAGCTGGAGCCAGCGAGACGGGCTTGGTGGAAGGAGCTGGGCGACCTGTGGACGTGGTCCTTTCTGAGCCAGGGAGGAGAGAGGGGCCGGGGCCACCCACCCCTGCAGTCCCCAGGCAGCCCCTCTGGCCTTTTCCTCAGGAGGCCTCTGCCCCCAGCCCAGAGGAGGCCTGGGGTGCCTGGGGAGGGGGCGCTGGCTGTCTTGCCCACCCTCCCCTTTCCTGTCCCCCTGGGCGTCGGCTTCCAGGGCTGGTCCCACGGAGCCATTGCCACATCCCCTGAGAAGAGCCAGGCTGCAGGGGGGCCGAGCCCTGGGAGGGGCAGCCTGGACTCTGTCCTCGGGGATTCTGTCCAGAACCTACCTTCGAAGCTCCCTCAGCTCCTGCAGCTGGTTTCAGAGGGGAGCCCTGGGCCATCTGGCTGGCACCCAGGACTCCTCCAGGCTCCTCGAGAGTTAATCCAGCCCAGCCCATGCCAGCTGGGCCCCTGCCAGGCGCTGGGCCCGTCCGGAACTGCTGAGTGCGGGCCCAGGGCATGCTGGGCGGGGAGGCAGAGGTGGGGCGCCCAGCCCTGTTTGGGCATCGGCTGCAATGGTGGAAAGTCCTTTTCACCCAAGGAGGCCAGGCCGAGTCGGCAGTCCCAGGCTTCCTTGCTCGGTGCTGAGACAGCCAGGAGGGGCTGTTAACTCCTGCACCTGCCCGCAGGGCCATCATTCTCGCTGTCTGGGCATGTGGCTCTCAGGGCCGGCCGGGCCAGGGCAGGGGATGGCAGAGTCCCGTGTGTCTGCTGGGAGCCGCTGGCAGCCAGACCCGGGGAGGGAAGCTGCTTCAGAAGCCAGAAATGTTTGGGGAGCGGGGTGGGGGTGATTTGTTGGGACAGGCCCGGGAGTTTGGGCTGGAGCCTGGCAGATGCCCCAGGGCCCGCTGGGCACCGTCACCCTCCCCAGCCCTAGTGGGGTCCTGCTGCTGCCTGCCCTGGGCTGTGTGGCCTGGCAAGAGCCCCACTCATTTGTCTTGGGGGAGGGGGAAAGCGAGGAAGGGGTTCACTGTGCCCCTCCTCCGAGCTGCTGCATGCATGCACAGGGCGGAGGGGTTTAGGAGATCAGGCTCTGAAAGGTCTGTAGGCAGAAGAGGAGGCTGGGCAGGGTGGCAGGGGACAGGCGTGCAGAGCAAACCAGACCGGGGCTGGGGCTGCGGCTGGGGCTGTCCCCGCACTCCGCTGCCACGCACCTTGCGCAACTGCACTACGTGGGTCTGAGCCTCAGGGGGATGTGGGAGTCATCAGTGCTGTGCCCCAGATGTGCCCAGCTCCCTTCCTGGCAAATGACAGGCTTGTGCTTCCCCGCTCCTTTCATTAACAAAGGCCCTCGCCCGCTTTGGCCAGCGAAACCAGGGCACACCTGGTAGGTCGTGGCACAGGGAGCCGAGCCAGTCACTTCGTGCTGTCCCCACCGGCCTGCGTCCTGGCAGAGCCCCTCTGCCGCTGCACTGACAGGAAGGTGGGGCTCCCCAGCATGAGCCAGGCTCCCCGACCCCTGAGCCCGTCAGAGATCTCGCGAGACTTTGCGGACAGTGGTGCCAACGCCCGCCGCATCAGAGAGCTGTCTGTTCTGGCTTTCCAGAGAGGCTGTGTCTCAGAGCCTCGAGCTTGGCCTGGGCCCCACCCTGGGCTGCAGGCAGTGGCTGCCTGTTGCACTGTGGACTTGGCCTCCCCTCCTGGACTGCAGCGCAAGGCCTTAGGTCTGGCCCCTGCCAACCCCCGACCCCTCTCCTACCGCTCCTTGCTCTTCACGCTCCAGCCACAGCCTCCCTTTGCTCCTCAGACCAAGGTCACTGCCACCACACGGGCAGTCCCACGCATGATTTTTTTTTTTTAGATTTATTTTTATTTGAAAGAGTTAGAGAAAGAGGTAGAGACAGAGAGAGAGGTCTTACATCCACTGGTTCACTCCACAAATGGCTGAAATGGTCAGAGCTGAGCTGATCCGAAGCCAGGAGCCAGGAGCTTCTCCCAGGTCTCCCATGTGGGTGCAGGGGCCCAAGTACTTGGGCCATCTTCCACTGCTCTCCTAGGTGCATTAGCAAGGAGTTGGATGGGAAGTGGAGCAGCTGGGACTCGAATTGGTACCCATTTGGGATGCCGGCCCTGCAGGCCAGGGCTCTAACCTCCTGCACCACAGTGCCGGTTCCCAAGATCTTAAAGCCTGCACCAAATGCCTGCTCCCATGGAGACCTCGTCTGGCCATCCAGGAGTAGCACCGTGGTGGCATGTGGCCCTGCCTGGAGTGGCAGGTGTTCAGCAAAACGAAAAGAAGACCTGGACCTGCTGCACACTGTGCAGTGAGTGTCACGGCGTGGTGAAGGTTTGTAGGTGCTTTTCCCCGGGAGACCTGTTTCATCGACCTTTCCCTCAACTGCGTGACCACAGACCGCTTTCTAGCTTTTCTTAACAGGTTCACGGAATTCCTCTTGCTGCTGTGGCAAGAGCACCCTGTGTAAAATCTGCAATCCTCCTTCAAGTCTGAGCTCTGCAAGTCTCCCTATCCGTAGAACGGGTGCTAATACCAACCACCACAGGGTGCTTGTAGGTGTGGAATGAGAACAGAACTTTAATCTTTTTTTTGACAGGCAGAGTTAGACAGTGAGAGAAACAGAGAGAAAGGCCTTCCTTTCCGTTGGTTCGCTCCCCATATGGCTGCTATGGCCGGTTCTGCGCCCATCCGAAGCCAGGAGCCAGGTGCTTCCTCCTGGTCTCCCATGCGGGTGCAGGGCCCAAGGACTCCACTGCCTTCCCGGGCCACAGCAAAGAGCTGGACTGGAAGAGGAGCAACTGGGACAGGTCCGGTGCCCTAACCAGGACTAGAACCCGGTGTGCTGGCGCCACAGGCAGAGGATTATCCTAGTAAGCCACGGGGCTGGCCAGAACTTTAATTTTTAAACAGGACTGATTTATTTGAAAGGCAGAGTGACAGAGAGAGAGGAAGAGAGACTCAGAGACAGATAGAAAGAGATCTTACATTTGCTTCTTCACTCCCCAAAGGGTTGCAACAGCCAGGGCTGGGCCAGGCTGAAGCCGGGAGCCCCAAGCTCCGTCCCAGTCTCCTGCGTGGGTGGCAGTGACACCTGCTGCCTCCCGGGGTGCACATTGTCAGGAACAGGACCGTGCATGGAACGCCTAGACAGTGGGCTCCCACCAGGCGCTCTGACAGTGCGACGCGGACATCCCGATCGGTGACTTCACTGCCTCCTGGCAGACATACCCGCCCCCGATAAGAATCTTATAAGCTGTAAAGTCCTCTCCAGATGCCTGAACTCCTAATTGGTTTAACCTGGAAAATAACCTGCAGCGTGTTTACCTTACAAGGTAGGCGGCCCTCTGGTACTGGCCTCAGGACGCCAAAGGGAGAGGGAGAGATGGCCCAGGGTTGGCAGAGCCAGGTGACTGCAGAGGAGACAGAAACGGGAGCCCGGAGAACAGAGGTGGCAGTGACGGACAGACCCCGGGGGGGGGGGGCGTGGGCGTGGGCGGGGGCAGCCCGAGAGCCGCGGTTCTAGCAGCTTCCACCCAGGCAGCAGAGCCGGTGCCCCTCCCCCCCACCCCAGCCTTCCTTGTCCCACCTGGTGGACTCTGCCGGGCGCAGAGCTGGCTCTGTCGCCTGCTGTAGCTGCCATGGCAAAGTCCCACGGGCTGGGGCCCAAACAGCAGGAAGTCCTGGTCCCGCAGCTCAGGAGGCTGGAAGTCAGGGACCATGGTGTTTCCAGGGTGGGGTCCCAGGCCTCTCGCCTTGGCTTTTGATGGCCAGCTCCCCTCACGTGGCCTCCCGTCCCCATGTCTGTCCGAACACCTTCTGTCACACTGGGTTAGGGCCCCCAATGACCTCATCGTAGCTGGATGACCTCCGACTCCGGAGAACATGCTGGGGGTCAGGTCTTCAACACCTAAATATTGCGGGGGTATACCTTAATCACGAACAGGGGCACCCCCTTCATCCTTGGCCAAAAACCCGTGGCTGTGGCCTGCTGGATGAGACAGAGAGCCCGTAATTGTGTTAATTGCCACAAGAACCCAAACCTTCAATTAATACACCACGGGAATAAAGAGCCAACGCACGCAGCGCCTGGACTTGGATGCAGAGCCCCACCCCCACCCCCTGAGCCCACCCCTGAGCTCACTGCTGCTCCTTTTCAAATTAGCAAAGAAGAAAGCATGAGCATCTGTCTTGCCGCCACGAGCTCAGAGCAGAGCCGTGGTGCAGCCCCGGGACAGGGGTGGCTAGGGGCACCCTGGTTGTATCCTGTCCAGAGCCAGGCACCCGGGTCCGGCCGTGGGGCACAGAAGAGCCACCAGCTCCTGCAGGAGGGAGGGTCCAGATCCTCACACAAATCCTGGCGCTGTGGCGCCCTGGTGGGGGCCCCGGGCACTTGGCAATGCGGGCAGGCGGACTGCACCGCACAGGGCTTGGGAGCTGGTCCTCTAACTCACACCCGGGGCGGGGGTGGCTGGGACCCTGGGCTGCGCTGCACTGCCACCTCCCCTCCATTCCATAGGGGCCGTCAGCTCTGGGCAGATGGCCAGTGCTGAGTACACGGTGGCCCCCGTCCCTCGTCTCTGGTCCTCTTCGGGCTGCCTGGAGACTGCCCCACCCACGGTCGCCTCCTGTGGCTGGAGGGTGCCCTGCTCAGGCCTGGGGTTGGCACGAGCTTTAGTCTCGGCAGGCAGCCTCCCTGCTCTGCGCTGGGCCTGGGAAAGCTTCCCCAGCCCCCCTCTTTGTGTCCCCTCTGCCACCCCCCTGGGCCTCCCCTTCTGCCTCCTTCTACAGCCAACCAAGGACAAGCAACCGAGGGCAAACGGAGCTTCTAGCCTCAGGCTCTGCTTTCCCAGCCGTCCCGGCTCCCAGCTGTGCCAGCGCAGCCCGGGGAGTGGGGGTCTGGGGGGTAGGGTGCGAGTGGGACTCCCCTCCTGGCCACTGGGTCATCCCTGCCTCCCACGGCCTGGGCAGAGGGCGAGCGCCTGGCTGGCTCTGGTGCCCTCCTGTGATTTGCCTCCCTGCCTTTCCCAGGCCTCTCTGGGCCTCCTCCCTGGCTGGGAGACACAGTGAGAATTCCGGGCCCTCTGTGCAGGGTGGGGTGGGGGGCTCTTCCTTGGACAGCAGCTTCTCATTTGCATCCCTAAATCAATGGGCTCCAACGATCAAAGTCCCTGCACTCGACTTCAATGAGGCCAGCAGCGGGGCCCAGAGGATGGGGGAGGGTACCATGGTGGCTATCGCCTATCGCCCTCCCTCCCTGCTGCCCCCTTGGCTGGCCGCACACAAAGGAACTGGAGTAGAGGTGGCTCTCTCCACTATGAGGTCGCTTCCTCTGACTTCCCCCAGAGGTCAACCTGGGTAGGACCATGGTGGGTGGGGGAGGCAGCAGGATTTGGCCAGGTGGAGAGAAGAGGAGGGTCAGCACCCCTTCCCCACCCCACGCCTGTCGGGGGCCCTGTGGTCCCAGCCAGAATGGCAGCTGCATTTCTTGAGCTCTCAGGTCCAGACCAAGAGCTGAGCGCTTCCCAGGCATGTCCAGGGCTGGGGCATGCGTGATCCCGTGAGGTGCAAGTCTTCGTTGTCCCCCAACTCTGAGCACGAGGATGTAGCACGCGGAGGCCGCAGAGCTGGGCAGCGGCAGCGTCGCGGCTTGGGGGCCTGGAAAGAGCTCTGTTCAGGAGTGGAGGCCGAGTGTGCGCTTTGTGTGGGAGCCTGACCTGGCCCGGGAGGTCAGGATGCCCCGCCTGTGTTCTGGCTCAATCCTCGCCCCCAGCATTGGAGGTGGAGGTGGTGGGGTGAGGGTGGGGAAGGGCAGGTGCCCACAAAGCCTGCCTCAGTGCCTCTCCGGCTTTTCCTGGCCTCGAAGAAACTCTCACCAACGTCGTGCGCGAAAGCCTCAGCTTTAGAGCTGACAGATCCGAGTTTGAATCCCAGCTTTGCCACTTGGCTGTGTGGCTTTGGCCAGATCGCTTAACCTCTCGGAGCCCCCGTGTCCTTGTCTGGGAAGGAAGGTGATAACTGTGCTCATGGCACGGGCCTGCCACCAGCAAGAAGTCGGTCCACAGCATGCCAAGTGTGAGCTATGCTTGCGACTTCTCCATCTCTGGGGGCTGATTAATCCCTGCTACGCAGATGAGGGAGGAGAACCAGGAGGGGTCCCCGAGCACTCTTGGGGGGCAGAAGCTCTGCAGTCTGGCTCAGGAATTATCTTGGGGTTTGCTGGCTCAGGGGGCTTCGAGGTGGAGGAAAAAGCAAACACAAAAAACCAGAGAAGCCTCATGCAAGAGCTGGCTTTGCTACTCCAAGCTGGGTGGTCTTTCCTCTTTTACAGTTTGTCTACTTTTATTTGAAAGGCAGAGAGAGCGAGCGAGAGGGAGACAGAGAGAAAGAAAGAAAAAGAAAGAGGGGGAGAGAGAGAGAGAGAGAGAGAGAGAGAGAGAGAGAGATGGATCTCCATCCGTTGGTTCACTCTCTAAATGATTACAACAGCCAGGGTTGGGCCAGGCTGAAGGCAGGAGCCAGGAGCTTCATCTTGGTCTCCCACGTGGGTGGCAGGGACCCAGGCACTTGGGCATCCCCTGCTGCCTCCCAGGTTGCACATTAGCAGGAAGCTGGCTCAGAAGCAGAGGCGGGACTTGAACTCGGTACTGTGATATGGGATGCAGGCATCCCAAGTGGCGACTTTACTGCTGTGCCAAATGCCCGCCCTCAGGCCTGAGGGTCTTGTGGAGTTGCTCAGCCCACCCCCCTCCAACTCCTGCTTGCCATCAGTTAGATGGGGATGAAGAAACCTCTTCTTGAGAGATGACCGTGAGCCCAAAGCACACAGACACCCTTTGATAGAGGGAGAACCCAAGCCCCACGCGCCCCCTCCGGTGCCGTGAGAAAACTGTCACCATCGGCGCCTCCTCACACCTCCCACATATGCTCCCGCGTGTCCCCGCTGGCCGGGCGAGGGCAGTTGGCACCTGTGCTGTGCTTGCCCCACACTGCACGCTCTCGCGTTTCCCGCACTGCCATCGAAAGCGGTTTTTATGATTACTGTCTTACAGGGGAGGAGACTGCGGCTCACGGGAACTAGGCTGCCTGCTCTTTTCGGCTAGTAACTGGAACCCGGCCTGGCTGCATCAGAACCGTGTAAGACTTTCCTCTTTTATTCCATTAACCCCTTTAACCCGCAGTATGGCTGCAGTGCGGGAGGTCTGGCGAGCCCCCGGGAGGACCTAGGGGTCCCGACTCCTCCGAGGTTGGTGTCATTTCCACCCACTGTGCTCATAGGCGGCTTCTCCCCTGCAGGGCTGGGTCGCTGTGCCCGCTTCGGCCCTGGCCTTTGCCTCCTCTCTGCCCTGTTGGGTTCGGGCGCGTGTCCTCACAGTGGGGAGCACACGTGCGCTGCGTGGCACACTGCAGAAGGAGGCAGCCGCCCCCGCACCCCACACACAGGCAAGCGGTCCTTGTGCCTCCCCAGAGCAGGCAAGGGAGCGTGCTGGGCGGTGCCGTTGGTTTTGCAGTGGGAAGGGATCTATGTAGGAAGCCCCAGTCCTCATCCCAGCTTTGGGGTGCACAGGGGAGGGGCCTGGCTTCCGTGGGAGGGAAGGGTTTTGCTTTCCTGGAAATGTTCACTGGCGTGGGAATCCTTAGTTCTCTTCCAAACGGAGAGTCATAGAAAGTGCCAGAAGGTCCCAGCCCAGTGCCCTGGACTCCGTGGGAATGGCCTCTTGCCACCCGCCAAGACAGCTTAGTGCTCCGGGCTGGGAACAACAGGGCATCACCGTCACGGCAGACGCCTGCTGACACTGGCTTCTAGGGATGGCCCCTACTTCTGTTCCGTGGCCATTGGCTCCACTGCCTCGTGCCCATTCTTCAGATGGACATGCTGAGATCGAGAGGCCCAGGACCTCCCCAGAGGCCGCAGAGGCAGGACATGGCACAGATGGCCACGCACACACAGACGTTCACCACGGAGCTCTCGCACAACAAATGACTGGAGGGAAACACCCCCAACAGGGACTGGTGGAAGCCACGGCAGCGTGGCCACATAGGATTACCATGCAGCTGGGAGACGGCAGGAAACCCATGCCTGTGTGCGGCGGGGGGCCCCGTGTCCCACTAAGTGGCAAAGCGGCCGTGGGATTTAACAGGAGGACAAGAACAGTGCGTGGAGCATTGGCTTGGATTTGGGAAGACAAGCCAAACACAGGCGGAAGGCTAACCCGAGAGGGGAGGAGGACGTAGGGGTGGAGCTGGGGTTTTCCCAACTCCTTGCTTTCTAGACGAACTTGAAGCCTTGCACGACTTACGTAACTGGAGAGCGAAATTAAGTGGAGGCTTCACAGGAAGGAAATGGGTAGAAATGGACTTGAACCCAGGTCTGTCCAACTAGCGTCCTTGCTCCTGAGCACTGGTCTTGCCTCCCGTTAATTATCCCTTCTAACAGTAATGGACCAGCCAGGCCACCAGAAGGCAGAGGCGGGGCCACACCTCCCACCTGCTAAGCGGCAGGGGAAGGGGGGAGTTGGTCCTGGGGGCCACGGTTGTGGTGCCTTTAGGGGTCTGTGATCAGCCTGTCATCGGGACATCAGCTGGGACGGTCGCTTTCCTGCCTTGTGTCTGCTGTGCAAAGCCCTCAGGACACACTGGCAGGCCCCGCCACTCATGAGCACTTCATCTTCCCGGCCACCGTGGACCTGGGTGAGGACCTGCAGCTCGGTGGGCGCTGCCTCCCACGGCTTGCAGTCCTGCCTTCTGACGGGTACTGCAGGCTGGCTCCAAGCTGTGGGAGCCCGAGCAGGGCTTTTTTTGGTGTCTGTGGGGTATTTTCACAGATGGGCAGAGGCACCATTTTGGGCTCACACAGGCATGAAGCTGAGCCCAGGAGTCCTACTTTCTAGCAACGCGTGCAAGCAGATTTGACATTTGTCTCCTCCGTGAGCCAGGGAGGATGAGAGAAGCCTCAGCAGAGGGGGCTGGAGGCACAAAGGCTGCGTCACGTGTGGGTGCAAAGCTTCGGCCGGGGGCTCTCAGAAGGCGCAGCTCCTGGGACAATCTCACATCCTCCCGCCTCTGCCCCTTGCTGGGCTCACACGGCCTCCGGAAGTTCAGGTCTTCCCTGGCCAGCTAACTAAGCCGTCCCCCTACCCTCAAGTCTATGTTCCCTGCAAAGGACCCTGGGGGATGCTCACTGCCACTGCTCCTGGGCGCTGGACGCTGCCGCTCTGCTGTGAGCCAGTGGCTGGCTCAGCCGGGGCAAGCCCCCGCCCCTCAGCCAACCATAACCTAAGTCCTGATGGATCCCCACCCCAGGGCCACTTTGAGGACGAATTAATCCATCACAAAGGAGACCTTTGCTAAGTGCCAACATGGCCAGGGCCATCGTCCGGCGAAGCAGAAATGAAATTGATCAGCGTCCTTTGCTTCCACCGCGCTCCGGCCAAGCTCGGCAGGTGCGCGGGCTCTCAGGTGGGCGAAGCCTCAGCCGTGCAGGTGGCACGGAGCTCCCCAGCCGTCTGGCCGCCCCACCTGTCTCCGGGCCATTTTCATCTCTTTGTTTCTTTGAGGCACAGCAAGGGTGAGAAGATAGAGGGATCGGGACTTCAGGCACTGGAGAGCTTTTGTTTGTGTTTTTAACAGAGCTCAGTTCATTACATTTTCCCTCTCGGCATCAGCCTCCTGATTCCAAATGCGGCTCTGAGACTCTGCCTTTCTGGTTTAATGTTTTGTAAATCGCAAAGGTGCCTGGGGAAGCTTCCGGATACGGTTCTTAGCCTCTGAGGTGTGAGCTGAGCAGTAACAATAAAAACCCCTTGCCCAACAGTTCCTTCAGTTCATCACTGAGCACTTACCAGTACCCAGTACAAACTCAGTCCCAGCTTAGCTGCACCCCGCCCCAGGGAAGAGAGAGATGATCTCGTGCCGCTTGATTGGTTTTGTGTTATTTGGACATGTGGCATGCCAGGCTCTAGGGGGCACTTTAATTGCATCATCTCATTTAATCTCTCGACTCTAGGCAGTGGGTGTGGAGACCCAGGCCCCTCCCAGGGCCCCTGGTGACTGGCTCGGTCGGGTGAGCGGACCCAGTTTTGGAGATGTTGTATAACAGGGGTTTTTATTCCATTTCACAGGTGAAAACTCAGTTCTCTAACTCCGTCCAAGGTCATTTTCAGTAGTCGGAGCCAGAAGTCCAGTCCAGTCCCATCTGACTGTACCATCTGGGTCCTTCCTGTTAGAACACAGTAGGGAGGAGAAAAAGACACAAATGGATTAGGGAATTGGCCCCACGGGGCAGCAGATTACAAAGCTTGGATTGTCTGGTCAGACCTGTCAGGAGGACTTCCTGGGGGAGACAGCCTGGGTTTGAAGGCAGGGGTCCGGAGGATGTGCTAGGTGAGGCGGCCCTGGGCAGAAAGGATTCCGAGTGAAGACAGAGGCCGACGGAGCCCTGGGCCAGCTGGTGGGGAGCGGCAGAGCGCTGGGACCTCATGGGCTGGCAGCAGGGAGCTACTTCGTGAGCCAGGGAGGGACAGGCGGCCTGGGAGGCGGTGGTGACTCAAACCCGTGGCTGGAAGCAGTGGTGAGTGGGGCGTGGCCTTGGGAGGGTCCTTCCTCATCGAGGTGGGGGGAGGGCAGCACCATTGGGGTGGGCTCTGCAGGCCTCACTGCCTGGGGTGACACAGCACAGGGGCATTTTCCATTAAAGGTTGCTCAGCTCCCTTAATGGGATCAAGTCCAGACCCCTCCAGGCATCACTGTGGGCTCCTCCCGCAGCCCCACCAGCAGCAGGACCCCCTTGGAGAACCTGGCCCTTGGTTCCACTGGGGGTTCCTTTTATTTATTTGAAGTTTAGAGAGAGACAGAAAAAGGTCCTCCCTCTGCCAGTTCACTCCTCAGATGGTAGCAACAGCCAGAGTTGGCCAGGGCTGATGCCAGGAGCCAGGAGCTTCAGGGCCCAAGCACCTGGCTCACCTTCCGCTGCTTGGAGCTGGATGGGAAATGGAGCTGCCAGGACTCGAACTGGCACCCATACAGGATGCCGGCTGCATAGGCAGCGGCTTTATCGGCTGGGTCACAGCACCGGCTCACCTTCGGCACAGGCTTGAATACAGCTGGTGGCTCCTCATGGGACCATCTGTCCCGAGGGGGGGGTCTCTTGAGGGTGGTCTCCCCGGTGGAGAGGCCCTTTCTCCTTTCTGACTTGGTTTCCCCATCTGCACAGTGGAGCCCACGATGCTGTCTTGGGGTCGCAGCGCCTGGCACACGGGGTGTGCACGGCTGTCCTGGTGTGGGTTTGCCTCCGGCTCCAGCTGAGACAAGGTGGGGGCCCCGACTCAAGGAAGAGGGGAGAACCGCAGAGACCCCTGTGGGATTCGCCGGACCCTCGTCCACTCGGACGGGCCTCTGCATCTCCGGGGGACTTGGGCATCCCACTAAGGTCGCGCAGACCAAGCCGGCTCTGAGAGGCCACAGTCGAAGTCTCCAGGACGGACTCCCGAGGACAGGCGCCCCCCCACACCCCGCGCAGCGAGCAGAGACTGGGGCCGGCAGGTGCAGCTTCTGCTCCGACCCCAAGCTCGCTCCCGCAGCCCCGACTCGGCCCAAGAGGACATCGGGGCTCTGGGGGCGACGCGACTCGCCCAAAGGATCAGGTGCTGGGGGCGCGACGGCCCCCCGGGGGTCGCCTCCCGCCGGCGTCTGCGCTCCGTGGGGTGGGGGCTGGGAAGGTCAAGTCCTTGACGTTGGCGGTGGTGCGCGCGTGGGGGGACGAGTAGCCGGCGCCCGGGGGCCGTGGCCGGAGCCGGGGGTCGTGGCCGGAGCCGGGGGTGCGGTCCCGGGCGCCTCCCCGCCGCCGGGAGCCAACCCGCGCGCGCGCGCATCCCCGCGGACGCGCGCCCCGCCCCCGCGCGCGCGCGCGCCCGGCGTCGCTCCCCTCCCCGCCCCTCCCGTCGCCACCCCTCCCCCGGCCGGGTACCCTCGCCGGACCCGAGAGAGAGCGGCGCCGCCATCTTAGCCGCCGCCGCAGCCTCCAGCGAGGCGCTGCTGCGAGCGGAGGAGGCGCCCGCGGCCGAGCGCGCGGCCCCAGCGTCACGGCGGCGGCGGCGGCTCCTGCCTGGACCCCGGTGCTCGCCGAGCTGCCAGAGCCCCGCGCAGCGTCCCCGTGCGCCTCCCTGCCGCTCCCGGGTCGGGCCGGCCGCGGCGCCGGGAGCCCGAGCGATGCTGCGCCGCCGCCCTGCGCCCGCGCTGGCCCCGGCCGCCCGGCTGCTGCTGGCCGGGCTGCTGTGCGGCGGCGGCGTCTGGGCCTCGCGAGGTAAGGAGCTGCGGGCGAGCGGGCGCGCGTCCCCCCGGCGCCGGGCCTCGGTCCCGGGCGGGGCTGCTGGGCCTTGGCCGCCCCCGGTGCAGCCCCGCCTGGGGGCCGCGGGGGTCCAGGCCGCCTCGCTGCACGCCCGGGGGCGGGGGTGGCGCGTGGGCGGCTGCGGGTGCGGGGGTGCACGCCCGGCTTGCGGGGGCTTACATAAGAGCCCACTCCCCCGCGTCCTCCCGGGACCCGCCGCGGACGCCCGCTCCGGGGGTCTCGGACACGCCGGCGAGCTCCTGGCGCTGGGAGACGGACGCTCCTTGCTCGCCTCGCACCTTCGCACCCCCAGGTGAGAGCCGGGCGAGGGCTGCGGCCGCGCTCGCGCCGGGAGAGCCGACGTCCCCGGCCGCTGCGGGTTTCCCGGCGGCGGCGCGGGGGTCCCTCGGATGCCTGCGCCTCGAGGGTCCGGGGTCGTCTCACACTTAGGCGGCAGTTAGCCTGTCTCGGCGGATGGGTGGCTCTGTGTGTTCCTGAACCTGGATGTCCGTAGCCCTTGGGCAGCGGCTCGCGCGCCCGGGGACGGAGCGGTCTCGCCCGGAGCAGCTTACGCATTGCGGATGTTCGCTTCCCCGCGGGTCCCGACGGCCTACCCGCAGCGAGCCTGACTCCGCTCGGGGGCTTCCCGTCAGAAAGCAGGGATGGGGAGCAGGACTGGTGGGCGTGAGAGTGACCGGGGCGTTTTCCCGAGCAGCGAGACCTTGAAGCCCCCTGCTCTGCTCCTGGCGATGGGGGGGGGGGGGGGGCGTGTGGTTCCCACCTGTGCGGCGGGCGGGGCGCGTGCGAGCCTGGCCCCATGCCCGCTCCCGCACCCGCAGGGAGGTGCGCGCTGCGTGCTGTGGTGGCTGCGATGCGGGTCTTGGTGGCCGAGGGTCCCGGCCGCGCTCCACTGCGTCTCAGAAAGTTACCGAGAACTTGGCAGTTCTTGGCGGACACGGGGTGGAGGTCCCCTAATAGACCCGGGGGAGGGGGGAGGTCAGAGTTCTGCTTCTCTCGGGGGAAGCCCACGCGTCTGGAAGCCGGGGGCGTGGATTGGACACTCGTGTGCTCGGTGATCACGTTGCGGGCGAGAAGCCGGCGCTCGGGTTCCCGCCTCGCCCAGCGGCTCGCGGTGCAGCGGCCTGGGCTGCCGGGCGCCCCTGGTGACGGCCAGCTGACGTCCGTGCGCGGCTGCCCGCCGCCTCCGGGCTGTCCTCGGTGCAGTTATGGCTCCTCGCATTTCCCAATAAAAAACCTTCAGCACCGGTTCGTCGGTTTCCTTTTTTTTTTTTTTTTTTTGCCGACCTCCAAATCAGAAAATGACTCAGTATTGCATGAAATGGTAACAAAACAAGTTCGTTGTGAAATACTGCAGGTGCATTTTTATTTGTATATACGCAGTTTGTGGGGACGCCGTTTCAGGACTCGTTTTAAAAGAGATGGTCATTCAGCCCGTGCCCGAGCGTGTTTTCATCGCGGTCCGCACGAGGGAACTGTTGGCTGTTCCTGCTCCAGTAGCGGCCGCAGGATGCACACCCGTGTGAGCCGCTGGGTTAGCGAAAGTTTGCCTTTGGCTGCTGGCTGTTTCCTGAGTTCACCTTATTAGCTGCAGTTCGCAAGCAAACAAAAAAGAACCCAGAAAACAGAAATATGAGGCAGGCGCCGTGGCTCGCCCCAGGCCCGTGTCTGCAGGCGGCTCTGCCCTCTGCAGGGACCCGGGTTGGCAAATGCCCGGAAGTGGGGAGCTGACGTGGAGGAGGTAGGAGGCTTGTAGGAGCACCCCTTAGAAATAAATGCTGTCAGGTGATGCATTCCCAAACCCTGTTAGTAATACGCACAGTCGTTCACAGTGCTCACTGTCAGTACTGTCGTTAATACTGTCATTGATAACACTGTCGTTAATACTCACTGTCGTTCGTGATACTGTCGTTAATGATACTCAGCATCGCTCACAGTACTCACTGTCAGTACTGTCGTTAATACTCACTGCCATTGATAACACTGTCGTTAATACTCACTGTCGTTCGTGATACTGTCGTTAATGATACTCAGCATCGCTCACAGTACTCACTGTCAGTACTGTCGTTAATACTCACTGCCATTGATAACACTGTTAATACAGTCGTTAACAGTACTCACTGTCGTTAGTGATACTGTTGTTAATGATACTCAGCATCGCTCACAGTACTCACTGTCAATACTGTCGTTAATACTCACTGTCATTGATAATACCCACTGTCGTTAATGGTAGTTACTGTCGTTAATACTCACTGTCATTGATACTGTCATTAGTGATACCATTGTTAACAATACTCACTGTCATTAGTGATACTGCCGTTAATACTCACTGTCATTGATAACACTGTCGTTAATACTGTCGTTAGTGATACTGTCGTTAATGATACTCAGCATCACTCACAGTACTCACTGTCAGTACTGTCGTTAATACTCACTGTCATTGATAACACTGTCGTTAATACTCACTGTCGTTCGTGATACTGTCATTAATGATACTCAGCATCGCTCACAGTGCTCACTGTCAGTACTGTCGTTAATACTCACTGTCATTGATAACACTGTTGTTAATACTCACTGTCGTTAGTGATACTGTCGTTAATGATACTCAGCATCGCTCACAGTACTCACTGTCAGTACTGTCGTTAATACTGTCATTGATAACACTGTCGTTAATACTCACTGTCGTTAGTGATACTGTTGTTAATGATACTCAGCATCGCTCACAGTACTCACTGTCAATACTGTCATTAATACTGTTGTTAATGGTACTCACTGTCATTAATAGTCGTTAACAGTACTCACTGTCGTTAGTGATGCTGTCGTTAATGATACTCAGCATCGCTCACAGTACTCACTGTCAATACTGTCGTTAATACTCACTGTCATTGATAATACCCACTGTCGTTAATGGTACTCAGTCGTTAATGCTCACTGTCATTGATACTGTCGTTAGTGATACTCACCATTGTTAACAGTACTCACTGTTGTTAGTGATACTGTCGTTAATACCATCGTTCACAGTACTCACTGTCAATACTGTCATTAATACTCACTGTCATTGATAATACTCACTGTTGTTAATACTCACTGTCGTTAATGATACTGTCGTTGGTCCTTTGCACACAGACTTCTCGGGAGCCTTGTTCTCACTGCGCTGTGTGAGATTTCATTTGTCCCAGTTGCTCGGAACGCGCCTTGCGTGGGTCACTTCCTCTGCTCTCCGCGGCTGCCGTCCTGACTCGCCCTCCGTGTGCTGGCTCACTCGTGGTGGTGTCGCGGCAGCACGTCTGCCCCAGGAGCAAACGCGCTCTGTTGGCGAGGGCGCCGGTCAGCACGTGCAGTGGGCACGCAGCGTTTGTTACGTGATTGAAAGAAGGGTGACGGCCGTACTTCAGCACGGGGGTGTGTGTGTGTTTTAAACAAATCCATTTTTATTGATTTACTTCTCCGTAGTTTAAATCCTCGTGGGGCTCGGCATCAGTGGCCTTCGCAGCGAGGTTGCTTCAGAATTCGGCGCGAACCGTGCTGCTGCCCCTGAGCAGGCGCCGCCTCTGCCCGATTCCTCTGGGTGTCCTTAGGTTTGCCGCCAGGAGCCCCTGTGTTCTTTGCGTCGTGCACACCAGCGCATCTGTCGCCCCAAACCAGAACATAAACAGCTGTGAGTTCGAAACAGCGCGGCGTGTTCCCGTTGGTCCAGAGTCTCCCAGACACAGCTGCCCTCCAGAAGTCCTGTCCCCAGCCCCTCCCAGGGAGGAGCCAGCGTGGCTTCAGGTGCTCGCTTCACCTGCCAGGTGAATGCTGCTGGGCCCGCAGGGGCTCCTTCCAGGACCTGTGCTGCCGACGGCAGCGGGGGGACGCCACCGTGTGGGCGCCGCGCCGAGGCCGGGAGAAAAGGACCCTGGAATGCTGTTGGGGAGGTGCTTTCCTTCATGTGTTGCCTTGTTTTGCAGAAGCTGCCTTTAGGAACAGCGTCCTCTGTGGGCTGCAGTGCGACCCTCAGACAAGTGTCCTGGGAGCTAAGGGTGAATGAGCTGATGTCACAGAGGAGATCTGGAGTTGCCAGAGAAATAAGAAAGGGTTACTGATTCTGAGTGCATTCCAGGTGAAGCGCTCTTTAAGCTGAAATCTCCCAGTTCGTCCTTTGCCTACATGAATTCTTTTTTTCCTAAGATTTTATTTTATTTGAAAGAGTTACAGAGAGAGGTAGAGACAGAAGCGAGGGATCTTCCATCCGCTGGTTCACTCCCCAGGTGGCCACAAAGACCGGAGCTGAGCCGATTTGAAGGAGCTTCTTCCGGGTCTCCCACACAGGTGCAGGGGCCCAAGCACTTGGGCCATCCTCCGCTGCTTTCCCAGGTGCATTAGCAGGGAGCCGGATTGGAAGTGGAGCAGCCAGGACTCGAACCAGTGCCCATGTGGGATGCCGGTTCTGCAGGTCAGGGCTTTAACC